ATTGAGACAGCCCTTAAAATGGCCAACTCCCTGAATTCAGGAGCTGATTGAGACGCACATGTGTTTGTGTTCTAGGATTTTTCTATAGACATTTGTATCATGTTGCTAGATATTTCTACAATGTTCTAGTATTTTGCTAGGGTGTGCAGGTTAGTCTTTACCTAAAAACTGTTTAATTTCAGTAAACTTACAGTTATTATGTTGTAAATCTGTAGCAAACAAAATCATTTTCACCAATAAATAAATAAATAATCAGACTTCACCATTCACAAACTCATAGGGACTTTGAGAGTCATGTGATCTGTATGGCAAAACATCAACAGTATTAAAGCTGTAAATTGGAATCAAAAATGTCTTGTCATGAGACACATTCTAAATGTTTTGTGTCATCATGTGATACAAAGAGAACAACACGCAAACATATAATTAATGTATGGCAGGTTAGTAAGGGGACCTGGGATTTGAGTAACACTTGTGCTGTAACACCTGTAACCAGCGCCGGCCCTACATAATCCGCGAAATATGCGGTTGCATGGGGCCCTGTGGCCACCAGGGGGCCACTTGTCAGGGTTCAGACAGTAATGCTTGGTCATAATAACTTTGATAAAGTTTGCTTCTGTCAGTCACGTGTGTTAATATTTGAAAATGAAGAGGCGGCACTATCTGTCTGGTGCAGAGAAGAGGAAAAGAGGAAAGAATGTGAGCAAGGTAAAGTGATGTGATGGATTTTGAAAGTATATTGTTGAAATGCCAAAGTAACGACTGTGTCATCTGTACAATAATGAACATGAACGGTACTGTTATTGTGGGCACTTCAAAATACGTGAATAATTCTTAAATAAATATCTTATTATCCGAATGGTTTAGATTTTTAGAGCTTATTTCCCATCGACCAGATAAGTTTTACAACACTGCATGTTTGGTGCGTGAAATCTCTTGTCAGATTTTCTCATCGATCTGAACAAAAGCAGCAGCCGGGCTGAATAAAAATGCAAGTTCACTCTCTGACAGCAGGTGGCGCTTTAGGAACAGCAGAAACACAGCTGTTACCATGGTTACCCCCGTACACAAAGCAGAACTGCTGCAAGTGCAACTTTCTGCTTCTGACACGTCACGGAGGTCAAAGGAAGTCAGACAGAAAATATTTAAACATTTCCGTTTCTTGAAATAAAATAGACATTAACTGAATAAAAATATTAAAGGAAAAAAAAAACTTAAACTTATTTTATTTTAGTTGACAAGGCAACATTACTAATTTTCATTTAGTTTATCTTGATGTTCTAAAATAACTAAAACTGAAATAAAAATGAATAACTATATACACAGTTAAAACAAACAAAAAAAATATTAATTTTAATAAAAAAAATAAACAGTGAAAATGACAGCATATAAAAAAATCAAAATATTAACAAAAACCATAATAGAACCTCAGTGATACTAAAAGAGCATTGCTTTACAGTGAGACGTCAGTGTATGATATGTACTTTGGGGGATGGGGTGTTTAGGTGATGGGAGCCCCCTTTTAAAAATCTGTCTGTAACCCAGTGCAACCTTAAATGTTGATGTAATATTCCCACATTTACCTGCTAAAAATTAAAGTTGTTTTGAAATCTAAAATGTATCCCTAAACTTAATGTTTAGTACATTTAATTTACTTAATTGGTAAAATGCTATTGTACAAAAAAAAAGTTGAAAAAATGGTTGAACAAATACATAAACCATGGGCAACAATTAAATGACATGATGGACAGTGTGTGTGTTTGTGTGCATGTTAGTCACTTTAATTGTTGTGTCAAATGTCAGCTTATAAACTGTACTGCCATTTTGTTCAGTCTTTGTAGATTCTGTTGAAGCAAATGGAGAAAGTTGTGTTACAACCCTCCTCGTCTGCTCAGCCAAGACATTTCTAGTGTTTTTAAAATTTAGGTCAAAGTTGTCAAATATATAAAGTAAATGTTGTCAAATATATAAAGCTTATGACCACGGGTAAGAGCTCAGAATTGTGCATATACAGTACTGTATAATAGTTTGTTTGCAGCACAAGCTGTTGTAAATCCTGCCCACTTTGCATTGTCAGCACATGCTTCAGTGCTCTGAGAGTGTTTATAGTGCTGTGAGTCCAACACTTCATGACTGAGAGCAGAACAGAACATAATCTTCATCATCACACAAGACAAAACAACAACAATGACCAACATCCTCATCCTCATCTGGACGCTCACACTGTTTGCTCAAGGTTTGTGTAGTAAAATCTGATAATTAATATTCATTCTTTGAAATATGAAATGTACATCATTAACAGATTTTTCAAAATGTTATTCTTGTTCTTTCTTTCAGAGTGTAGAGGACAGATCACTGTAACTCAGAGTCCATCAATAACAGCAGCTCAACCAGGACAAGAAGTCAGAATCAACTGTAAAACCAGCAGTAATGTCTACAGTGATAGTCATGGGTCACGGGTGAGCTGGTACTTACAGAAACCTGGAGAAGCTCCTAAACTCCTCATATATCTTGCAACAAGCCGTTACACTGGAACTCCATCTAGATTCAGTGGCAGTGGATCTAACAGTGATTTCACTCTGACCGTCAGTGGAGTCCAGACTGAAGATACAGGACATTATTACTGTCAGAGTGCACACTGTCCTAGTAGCTGTGTGTTCACACAGTGATAAAGAGTCATACAAAAACCTCCGTTAGTCAGAGTCACAGTGACTGCACTGATACAGCTGAGAGATACTGCAGCTGCTCTACAACACAATCACACACAACACTGATCAACACAAACACTAATAACACTGATGGGAGGATGACAAACAACACAATGACAATGTTTAGCAAAGTTTAAATAATAATTAATGTGTTCATTTATTTATAAATAGAGTAAATAGATTTACAGGTAGTTATTTAGTTTTTTCTTTAAATAACAGTTAGTTCTGGTGCAGAGGTTTTTGATGTGTTTTCAGAGTGATTGTTCAGAGTGGTTTATTTTACCAGACTTTATGGAAAAAAAACCCCTGCAAACTAAAAAGATTTTGTCTATGGTAAAATCACAGCAGTGCTGATATTTAGTACAACTGCACACTGATCATGTGATATTGCTTAAATGTGGAAGGATGAAAGAAAATGTCTTGGTTACATACGTAACCCTCATTCCCTGATGGAGGGAACGGAGACGTTATGTCGAATGACATATGAGGTCTCACTCGGGAGGCCAATCATCTCTGAGTTTAAGAGAAAACACCAATGAAAATTGGCTGGTGGATTTTGCATGCTGAGCCACTTCCCGTGCCTGCGGGTATGTAAGGCGACAGCGCGCATCCACTCATTAGGTTTTATGCTGAGGAGCCGAGAACGTGTCCCGGCAACAGCGAATAGTTCAAGGTTGTGGCATGGGGACATAACGTCTCCGTTCCCTCCGTTCTCTCCATCAGGGAACGAGGGTTACGTACCTTCGCTCCGCCAAGTCTGACTGCCGAGGGTGCTGGAGGATGCTCGAACAGGGTTCGCCAACCGGGGAACTCTGCTGGGAGAAGAAAGTGCTCGCATCCCCATGTGAGGGGGAATGGCGCAGCAAGCGTGACACCGAGCCAGTTCTTCCCACCAATTACCTGTTACCCAACACACGGGAAGAAACCGGCTCTACACGAAAGTTGTAAAACCTCGTGAAGGTGTTAGGTGTCGCTCAGCCCACAGCTCGACAGATGTCTGCCAGAGAGGCGCTGTGCGCCAGCGCCCAAGAGGAGGCAACACTCCGAGTAGAGTGGGCTCTCAGCCCCAGGGGGCACGGCTCGCCTTGGGACTGGTACGCCAAGGCGATGGCATCCACTTTCCAGTGGGCCAACCTCTGCTTGGAGACAGCCTTCCCTTTCTGCTGGCCTCCAAAGCAGACAAGGAGCTGCTCAGAGCTTCTGAAACTCTGGGTGCGGTCCACGTATATGCGTAACACTCTTATGGGACACAGCAACGCCAAGGCTGAATCTGCCTCCTCCTCCGGGCAGCGCTTGCAGGTTCACCACCTGATCTCGGAAGGGAGTGGTAGGAACCTTGGGCACGTATCCAGGCCGGGGTCTCAGGATAACATGAGGGTTGGCCAGCCCAAACACAAGGCACTCTTCACTTACCGAAAATGCTTGGAGGTCCCCGACCCTCTTGATGGAAGTGAGCGCGATCAGGAGCACTGTCTTAAGAGACAGGAACTTTAGCTCAACTGAATCAAGCTGCTCAAAGGGACCCCTCTGAAGTCCAGCCAGGACAATAGAGAGATCCCAGGAGGGTATCAGGGGTGTCCTAGAAGGATTCAACCTTCTGGCACCCCTCAGGAACCTAACGATCAGGTCATGCTTTCCCAGAGCCCGGCCGTCCACTGCATCGTGATGTGCTGCGATAGCAGCGACATACACTTTCAAGGTGGAGGGTGACAGCCTACGCTCCAACCTTTCTTGCAGGAAAGAAAGCACGACTCTAATCGAGCATCTCCAGGGGTCTTCTCGGTTAGAAGAGCACCAATTCGTGAACCGACTCCACATCAAAGCATAGGCATGCCTCATAGAGGGAGCTCTAGCCTGAGTGATAGTGTGTACCACCGCTGGCGGTAGGTCACTTAGGTCTGCCGTGTCCCGTCCAGAAGCCACAAATGGAGGTTCCAGAGATCTGGACGCGGGTGCCATATGGTGCCCAGCCCCTGAGAAAGGAGGTCCCTCCACAGGGGGATGCACCAGGGAGGGGCTGTCACAAGGAGCATGAGTTCCCAAAAACCAGGTCCGGGTGAGCCAGATAGGCGCAACCAACAGGACCTGTTCCTCGTCCTCCCTGACTTTGCACAGTGTCTGTGCAAGCAGGCTCACTGCGGGAAATGCATACTTGCGTAGAGCCCGAGGCCAGCTCTGTGCCAGTGCATCCATGCCCAGGGGGGCCTGGGTCAGGGAATAGTACAGCTGGCAGTGGGAGGACTCGTGGGAAGCAAACAGGTCCACCTGAGCTTCCCCGAATCGACTCCAGATCAGCTGAACCGTCTGGGAATGGAGTCGCCATTCTCCGGGGAAAGTGAGCTGTCGTGAGAGCGCGTCGGCCGCACGATTGAGCTCCCCCGGAATGTGGACGGCGTGCAGCGATTTGAGCCGTGTCTGACTCCAGAGGAGGAGATAGCGGGCGAGTTGAGACATGTGACGTGATCGTAGACCACCCTGACGGTTGAAGTATGAAACAGCCGCAGTGTTGTCCGTTCGGACAACACGTGCTTGTCCAGCAGCAGCGGCCGGAACTGCCGCAAGGCTAGATGCACTGCCAACAACTCCAGACAGTTGATGTGCCAAAGCAGTCGAGGTCTTGTCCAGGACCCCGAAGCTGCCTGCCCGTTGCACGTAGCGGCCCAGCCCGTATTGGAGGCATCTTTTGTGACAACGACATGCCTGGACACTTGTTCTAAGGGCACCCCGGCCCGTAGAAAAGCAAGGTCCGACCAGGGGCTGAATAGGTGGCGACACATCGGTGTGATGGTGACACAATGTGTACCGCGGCGCCATGCCCATCTCGGGAGTGTAACCAGTGCTGAAGTGGTCTCATATGAAGCAATCCGAGCAGCATAACTGCGGCTGCAGATGCCATATGCCCCAGGAGCCTCTGAAAATATTTCAGTGGTACCACTGTTCTGCCTCTGAAGGAACTCAGGCAGTTCAGCACCGATTGGGCACTTTCGATGGTGAGACGTGCTGTCATACTCACCGAGTCTAACTCCATACCGAGATAAGAGATTATCTGCACAGGGGAGAGATTGCTCTTGTCTCGGTTGACCTGAAGCCCCAACTGACTGAGGTGCCGAAGCACGAAGTCTCTGTGATCGCACAACTCCTCTCGCGACCTGGCCATAATGAGCCAGTCGTCGAGATAGTTGAGGATCCTGATGCCCACTTCCCATAGTGGGGCAAGGGCACCCTCCGCGACTTTCGTGAAGATGCGGGGGGACAGGGAGAGCCCGAAATGGAGGACCTTGTACTGCCATGCACGACCCTCGAACGCAAACCGTAGGAACGGTCTGTGACGAGGAAGTATCGAGACATGAAAGTACGTGTCCTTCAGGTCGATCGCTACAAACCAATCCTGGGCTTGAACGCATTTAATAACACGTTTCTACGTCAGCATCTTGAACGGGAGCTTGTGAAGGGCCCGATTCAAGACCCGCAGATCTAAGATAGGTCGAAGGCCACCGCTTTTCTTGGGTACGATGACGTAAGGGCTGTAAAACCCCTTCCTCATCTCGGCTGGAGGGACTGGCTCGATTGCATCCTCCGCCAACAGGACAGCAATCTCCTCACAGAGGCGTCTCGGACTGCCACTGAAGTCTCGAGAATGCCATAGAACTTAGGAGGTCGCCTGGTGGACTGAATCGCGTAGCCGAGTCGAACCGTCCAAATGAGCCAGCAGGACGGGTTGGGCAATGCAAGCCATGCTCCCAAACTCCATACGAGTGGCACCAAAGGGACAGTCGACGTACCCACAGTGGTGCAGCGATGGGGAGTTGTGCTGGGTGGCCCAGAAGGCATCGCGTTCTGAGTCATCACAGCAAAACTCCCCATGTCCCCGGAGGGACTGGCCAGAGACGCGTGGAGAGGCGTTGCGTCTCCGAACTGCGACCTCTAGGCCACTGGCGATAGGGGGCATCGTGGGTGAGAGTGAGGAAGCGGTGCGTCGCTCACTGTCAACCCACGAGCCTAGCAACCCAGAGGAAAAGGAAACTGCTCTTTCTTTGACAATGTGGTTACCGCTGGCCATCGAGCCAACGGCGGAACAGAAAGAAAAAGATTCTCCGCCCGGCCCTCCTCCGGGGGGAAGGAGCGGTGCTGTCCTCAGCACCTGCTGAAGAGCAGTCTCCCACATCTCCGGGTTGCCCGTGTCAGGGCCGCTTTGTCATCTTCCTAGAGGATCTAGCGGCCGGATGCGACATGGGGGGCACCGCTCTCCTGCGTGGGGCTCGACACGCCGGCCTCGACGATGACTCAGCGCGGGGTTGAGCCTGTGTAGAGGACGCAGGAGGGCGCCCACGGCGACGAGCAGGCTGACGGAATGGTGACAGCTGGAGGATCACATCGGGGCAACATGTGCTGTATGGCCTCAATCTGCTTGTTGTACTGCTGAGAACTGCTGGGCACAGCCCTTGACAGCGTCGCCGCACAGGCCAACCTGGGAGAGGGGAGCATCAAGAAAGCACACTTTGTCAACGTCTCTCATCTCGACCAGGCTGAGCCAGAGATGGCACTCCTGGACCACCAGAGTGGACATCGCCTTCCCGAGGGACCGCGTCGTGACTTCCGTCGCCCAGAGGGCGAAGTCAGTCGCCGTACACAGCTCCTGCATCAACCTCGGGCCGGTACTACCCTCGTGCATTTGTTAAGGCTTTGGCTTGGTGAGCTTGCAGGATCGCCATGGCATGCAGGGCAGAGGCAGCTTGGCCCGCAGCACTGTAAGCTTTGGCAGCGATAGCCACCGACAGCTTACAGGCTATGGATAGGAGACGCGGATAGTTCCTCCAAGAGGCGGCGTTTTGCGGCCACAAGTGCACCGTAATCGCTCTCTCCACCTGGGGATTGTCGACGCACCCCCTAGCCACCCCGCCATTGAGGGTAGTGAGGACAGAGGAAGGAGACGAGCAGCTTCTGGCCCCCCGCCGAATCTT